CACTTTATTTATTTCCACTAAATAACAAAAGTACATCAAATCAGATTGAAGCTAAGGGCATACATAAACTGTCTAACAATTGGTAACTTCGATTTTTTAAAAATACCAAACCAAAACCGAAACGACCGGTTCGATTAACCGGTTTTTTCGATATGGTTTTTCGATTTTTTTGCTCACCCCTATATAAATGGACTTGGAATTAGTTTTGGAAAGTCAAACATCTTCAACCTTGAGTGCACTTGTTCATCTGGGAATGCATTGATCTCTTTATCCCTGTGAAAACTAAAATTGCTGAGAGAGGAGTTAATTATGATTCGCAAGTTGAGTCCATAAATCATTTGTTTTTCCAATGTCCAGCGATGCAAAGAATTTGGTTCCTTTCTCCATTAAATCTGAAAGCCGACTACCATTCAAATTGGTTAATGCTAGATGGGCTAACTTATTGCCAAATGCTCACTAATCCTTTGGAAAATTTGGAAAGCTTGGGGTAATTTGATCTTCACCAATAAACGCTTTGATTTTTTAGCCATAGCAAACAATCTACATTCATTATTTATAGATCTTGATAGCAGCTTTTTGCTTTGAAAATGAAGATCAAAATCATATGTCAGTTGGTGGAATGTCCTCTTCTCTTCAGCATTGGCTACGCCCACCCTCTCTACATATTGAGATTAATTTTGATGGTGCCACATCTACTACCAAAGTGGGGGTTGGTCTAAGAGCCAGAGATGATTGTGGTTCTCTCATTGTGGCCCGTTTCATCGCCTTTCCTCTCTGTTCACCAGTGGAGATTGAAGCTTTGGCTTTAAAGGAAGGTATCAAATTAGCACTAACTCTCTACTTACATCATGTTATTTTCGAAGGGGATGCTCTATTGGTGATAAACTCCATGTATTTGTTTTGAATAGCCTGTAGGCTGAATCATCTCATTGCATCTTTCAATGGTACAGGTAGTAGAAAATCAGGTGGGGTAGACCAAGTCTTTGGCCTAGACAAAGAATAAGCCATTTTCGCAATTGAATGAATCACACAATTACACGTACAATAAACAAATGAAATAGAAAAAAGAGAAAACATTCACAAAAGACTTCTGCACTCGACTATCAAGTGGTGAATGCACCAGGGAACCACTAACACTATGGCACATCAAACAGCACATTGCTGATTGCAAGGCTAGAAAAGCCCATGATAACATCCCCCATAGTTCAATGTGGTTTACCAAATGTTAGGGAAACCAAATGGCGCATATGTTGCCTAGACAAGCCCTTAATATCTCGTCTTTCTGTACCTGGTCTATAGCTGTTGATTTTTTGTGGTATTCGGTTTTCCATGATTGTTCATTGAACATTATAAATGACTGAATAGCCTCTTTTTGGAGTAAAAAACGACAAACATGGGTATTTATAAGCCTATAATATAGTATATCGACAAAACAAGATTCATGTAACCGATATAGTTGGGATAAGGCATAGACAATTGCATATGGGCAGAATATCCCTCACTCATCCAAACCACAATTGCATATGGGCAGACTCATTCAAATCTTTTTGGAACATAAGATTTGGAGTTCAAATAAGCCACTACAAAATTGCCCCTCCACAACGTCCCACAGCACATTTCCGTCGTGGGACGTTGTGACGCGCAAATCTGAACTGTTGTTATACTTTGCGTTAACTCGAGTTGACAAACACGATGGCTGGAAGGCAACATGTGTAACCAATGATAGCGTCCCACGTGGTCATGAATTACAAAGGCACGTAACCGTTCAATCTCTAACGGTGGGGCTCGTGTATTGTTTATGAATTATGAGTTTTATGACTGGCATGGGTTCTGCGAGTTAGGATTTCCTGCACTCGGTTTCCTTTGTGCAGGGGTGCACTCCCAATCAAATTGGGACACGTCAGAATTTGTATAGAACTCTAACTCAGATATGTGAGCTATTTAAACGGTCCTTTAACTCTGTTAGTTTAGCTATTTAATACTTAAAAAATAAAAAATAAAAGGAAAAGTGAAAACTTTAACGGTAAGACTATATTCCATCGCAAATTTTAACCGTAACAAACGATTTCAGACCAAATAAGGGTGGAAGTCATTTGCAAGTAATTGTTTCAGGTGCTCATCATTTCTTCTTGACTTGATTACTCTGCTTTTTTTAAAACACCTGCAACTCATTTTGAATTGGATTCCATAATGGCTTCCTTTTTATAGAGTAATTAACGTTTATTAATTCTGCTCTTAAACTTATCCCAACTTCAAGACTTCCGAATCTTTACCTCAATGAATTAGATATAATATACACTAAAGTCATCGAAACAACAAGATTTTCCAATTTGTTGCTTATGTTCTCGTTTGCAGAATAAAAGACAGTGAACCTTGACTTAGAGAAAGCAAGTTTAATATAGAGGAGCTATGCTAGCAGTTTAATATAAACATTTCAACACTAAAGTTTTTTCCCTGCAATCGTTGTTAATGGCATCCACCCTACGGAAGGGTTTGGTCTGTAACAGTGTTCTGTATCTTTAATCTTTACCGTCTCTCAAGCTTAGCGGCGGTCAAAGTATTTATTTTACTCTTTTTTTATTTTTTACTTTTTAATTTGAAAAAAAAAAGATGGAAACGGTCCGTCTAAATGAGTTACACATATGATCTAAGGACTTGTCCCAATTTGATTGCACCCCACTACACATGTAACCAAATGCAGGAAATCCGAACTCGGCTTCCGCACCCGTTTTCAACGGCCAATAAGTCCCCAGCTAATCCCATCTCGTCTGTCACGGTGTCACGTTGATGTTGTCAATTGCCGCCTGTTTTATAGCGTTGATAGGCGTTAGTTAGCATCAGAATTCTGAGATCACATTGGCGCCACACAGCACATCTAAACCGTGCATTGGGATCATCTCCCGTGATAGGTACGAAGGTATTTCAAATGCACGCTCAGATGTATATGTGGGGCGCAGATGTGACTTCAATTCAGAGGACCAACCGGCCTTCCCGGTTCAACAAATTACCCGAGGAATGTAGAAGCTTTCACTGTATCAGAATGTTCGGAATCTCATGTTTCTATCTGACAGGAGCAGATGCCATTTGTCTTTTTTTTTTTTTTGATTTGATAGGAAATGCTTTCTAAGAGTAATAGAGCCCTAACTTCGTTTTCTTCCTGGTTCGTTCTCATGTTTAGATTTTTCATGGAGCTTGTGAGGGTTTTCTCCGAAGTTCGTTTTTGAAACAATTAAACCCCAGGTAAAAGGTATTTAATTCTTCTTCCATTCTTTCCTCTATAGAGCTGAAAGTGTATCCAATTTCTTCCAAGTTTTCATCTCGAAATCTCTCGATTTTAACTCTCTAAACTTTTGTAATGTCGTCTTCCACCTTTTTCTTTCGAACAGTCTTTTGTCGGGGCTTTTGTATGCAAGTTCTATGCTAATTTGCATTCTGGGTTCTGTCTCTCTTTCTGTATCACTGCGAATTGCAGAATTTGGAGGGGGGGGGGGCTTCTGGTTTTCGTTTTATTGAAGGACTTTAGACTATATTAACAGATATCAGATTTTACATGTTCTTTTAATGTTGGCAGTGTTTGCCCTGAAAACGACTCCTGGACTTGAAGCAATAAATAGCATCTTCTTATAATGACGGTTACCCATCTGGTCGGTGCGTACTCTAATGGATTGGCAACTACAAGATATGGAAGGAGATCAGTAAAGAATACAAGGATACTTGTTCCTGAAAGCTCAAATGAAATTAATAATTGCCTCACGAAGATTGATAAGAGGGAAATAAGCTCTTCCGATGTCCTCAAGCATTTACGACTTTCCTCGGACCATGGCGTCTTGTTCTCTTCGGTCGTTAGCTCTTGCAGGAAGCGCATTTTTCCTGTGGTCAGAAATCAGTATAGTCCAGATTGTGGTGCGGATGATTACAATGTGGAGGAGAGATTCAATACAAAGAAAGGGCGTACTGTGAGCAATTTGAGGTAAGGGAATTGCGCCAGACCAAACCGGTTAATCTTCACATTACATTGTTTTAACATGTTAATTAGCATTGTTACTTTCTTTCTAACCTTCTTCCTTTATTTTCTGTCTCTCATATCATTGTGGAAGAGGCTATATTATTATCAACATGACCCAGCATGCTATTTTGGAGCCATGGCGCCACTTGCAATTTCTCAGGGGCCACGTCTTAAAAAGTTGCATTACACAATTTGCTGCACCTTAAAAAGTAATTTTCAATATATAAATACTCCACTCAACTATAGCCCCAACTATTTGGGGTCATCTACATGAATCTTGTTGACTTATCTTGATATTGTGCTCTATTAAGATCCATGTTTTCTGTCAAATTATAAGTCCTTAAATCATTTTTTACCACCTCAGACCATATTTTCTTTGGTCTGGTTCTTTTACGCTGTCTTTGGTTTGAAGGAAAAGGTAGAGAAAGGTATGGAAACCCATACAAGGCTTGTGCAGGTTTTCCTATCTTTCCCTTTCTTTTCCTACCTTTTCCTTCAAACCAAACATAGCCTTAGAACCTTCTATTTGCATCAAGTTGCTCCTCACTGGTGCAGTCCCCCATCTTGTCACTAATTGGAGCTACTCCTAAGTCATCTCAACTATTCTTGTGACCCATCCATTTTCCATCCCGCCACCTCATCTCAGCTATGCTCATTTTTTGAATATGTTTTTCTTTTTCTTTTTCTTTTGTTTTTTTTATTGCCCAACACTCTGTAGTCTGTTTCATATAGCAATGTTGGTCTTATAACTGTCTTATAGAATTTTCCTTTTAGGCTCATTGGTATATTGCCAGTGACACAGCACAGAGGATGCACTTCCTAACTTCAACAACCCTGTTCTAATTCTATTGGGCAACATTCTTTATATTCTCTTTCATTATGGATGATCGAAGGTACTGAAAGTGGTTAGTTTCATTTACTAAGTCTTGAAACTTTTTGATTCTAAAGCATTTCTCCATTATTCTACCTTTGCATTCAGCCCATCCTTGGTTTTATCAATTGACACTATGTTATCAACAAACTACATAAACCATAGGAACTCCTCTTGTAAATGATTGGTTTTCTATCATCTTCAGAAAATGTCTGAACAGTTCAATCCACCAGTAATTCCTTTCCATTTAATTTACATAAAATAATCTTCAAGTTTGGGTGATCATCTTGAGTTTTAGGTATCAAAACTTGGTTTTGGAATAATTTATTTTCTTCTCCTAAAA